ATAATTAAAATGATTTTTTTTAAACTTTCAAATAGATTTCAATGCCGTTAATGCGGAAAAGTACTTGCCTAACCAATGGCATGAAAGCTCTCAATGCGGGATTAACGAAATCTGATTACAATTGGAATAATAGGACACACGGAAGCTAAGCAAAAATAAATACATTTATTAATTTAGACCAAGAGTCGATGATGGCATAAAATTGTTCAACGATAAAGTTAATTAAAAATGCTGAAATTAAAACGAAAATAATGAATTCAATTTTGATGGTCAAAGCTATTATTTTATTCCTGCTTTATTTTTTTTTAACAATAGAGCTTCTGATTACTTAAAACACAATTTTTGTGCTAGCTAAAAGACAAATTTTTAAAATCATTTGTATTATTTAAAACTTACCAGCTTGCGTTGAACCAAAATAGCCAAGTTTAACATATATTAACAACTCAACCTTTAATCCTCCTCTTGCTTTATATTTACCAAAGGGATAAAGGTGCAATTTATATGACAATCTTTCATTAAAAATATTTCATTTCCATTAGCTGCTGATGACTTCTCCCGGTTGAGTTTAAGCCTTATGGCCCGACACTTGCTGATCTTTTTATTGCTTTTGCCACATCAGATAAAAAAACCTTCACACAGGCCACTAACAATTGTGGCTTCACTTAATGCAAAATGTTTCTGTTATTGTTATACATTTATTAAACATAATTTGAGCGCGTAAATTCCACAGTCATTTGCGGGCAGGCAGGGAAAGAGCGAGAGGGATAATGAGGAGGAGATAGGGACAGAGACAGCCTCTGTCTCCCCATTGCAATTAACATTCATTGTCATGTGCGACTTTTTGTGTCTGCATTTTTCAGCATCGATTGAAGCTGAGCCATTTTCAGTGATAATTATGGCCACACAAAGGTTTGAGGTCGATTGAGGTGCGGGGTTCTTGACGAAGGGACATATTTAAGTGCATTTAAGTAGCATTTATGCTGACAACAGTTCGAACTCTTAATAAGGGAATAATTGCACCTCGGCGAGGATTGTTGATTTGAAAGAGAAGGCTTTAAAAGAAATGTATATGATAGTGAAAAAAATATAAACAAATTAAGTAAAATATATAAACGTCTACAAGCATTTTAGAAAAATTAAGTTAAACATTAGAGTTTTTAAAGTTTCAAAACCTACTACCAACTATTTGTTAGGAAAAAGCAGGCAAACCTTTTCGAACTCCCTGTGATTCCAACACTCCAACGCACTTTTCCCAACCCTGAGCTGACATCCGCTGGCTGGGCTTTGATGATGGCTAAAGTGCACACGTAAACACTTAACCTGGCCCTGATTGTGGGTGTGGAGGGACAAAAACATGGCAGGCACCCTGCTGGCTGATGGTTTGACTTAATTTCTCAACTGTCAGCTGGGCGGGCGGTGCGATGCGATGCGATGCGACGACTAATTTAAGAGTGAAAATCATTTTCGACGCTTTTGCTTTCTGGCTAGTTGCCAATCAGGTCACGAACTGGCGCTGTCGCTGTCGCTCCAGTCCAGTTTCAGTTTTCGGGGCCCTGATTTTTCATGTTCTCATGCGGGCCGAAAGGGTCACAGCGAACATGTTCATAATGTGCGCTAATGTGCATAATGTATGCGAGCCAAAAACCAGACACGCATACCTGCACACCAACAGCACACGTCCCATATACATACACACACACTCACACACACACAGATATTCTGGCACACTCGCATTCAAGTGACACGTGCAACAATAACAACAACAGGAACAAGGTGAAACAGGCAATTTAACAAGCCATCAACGCTGATGGTGCCGACAATGATGTTGATGATGGGATGGCCTCACCGGCAATAACAACAGCCAGCTGCAATAACAACACGGCTAAACAGCAACACGAAGCAACTACAACAATCGGTGACAACACGGCAATACTCTGTTGCACCCTTGCCACACTCAAAACACACTCACTCACACACACACCCTTTTTTCTCGAAAAAAATATTCACGATGATAAGGCAAAGTTTGCTAATAAATAAAAGTACTGCTAAGAGCCAAATTAAAAATTGTTTTCACCAAAGTGAGGAAATTTTTTGTAGATTAGGAATACAACAATTTTTAAAATTGAACAGCGTGTCTAAAATATTGTATATTAATTAGTTTATGGATAAATTAGCTGTACAACTACTGTTTTTAGTCACGTTTTTCTAAACAATTTTTCCAAAGATTTTAGTCAAATAAACTTGATATGTTACCGAAATAGCAATTTTGCTTAATTTCAAAATTCTTAGAACTCTAGGTACACAAATCAAGGTAGAAACTAATTTTAGTCACCATAAACTTCACATGAAAAGTAAAAGAAGGCACTTTTTGGTTTTACGAGGTTGAAAAGAAAGCAGCCTCTTTTTGCACTTTGCACTTTGCACTTCCCACTTTGCACACGGCGGCGGAAGCAAGAAAATTAAGGCAATTCAGTGCGAGCTCTGCAGCTCGTCACGTTTTCTTTCGGGGATCACGTAGTGACCCACATGCTTGCCCGAAAAGGGAATACTTGATGCAAAACTTTGGCCTTTGCCGGGCTGAGCTTATCGCTGCTGCTGCTGCTGCTGCTGCTGCTGCTGCTGCTGCTCCTCAAGCTGCATTCAATATTTATTACGCATACGACCGAGTGACACGCTTGGCTAAGAAGAAGCCAAGGCCCAGGATCCGACCCACCTCTAAGTGGCTTAATTAGTGCGACAAAGTGTTTGCCAATTGAGGGGCTCCTGCGTCCCTGCTCCCTTTCTGAATCCCTCTTATGGGTGGTTCAAATTTGCGGCCCTTAATCAGCTTACACGTAGTGGACTATGTGAGCTCTACTTCACGGATTTTCCCTTTCATTGCTCCAGAAAAGGCAACCTTGAAAAGCCACCATTGGTTGCTAGGATACTAATACTAAGCAGATGCTGTACGACAAGTTGATTTTGCTTTAGTCCAAGAGTTAAATTTTTAGAAACTGCTTGCTAATAGAGATGTTTAATTAAAAAAAATTTATCAGACAATATACAATTTGTAACAATTATTTACTTATTTACAACAACGAACAAATGCCCTTCAGTTTAATAAATACCAGATTGTTCTTATAAAAACATTACATTAAAATTGTATGAAATTTTATTGTGCCGTCAAATACATACATTTTTTTCTGAAAATCTCATGCATAATATAACTAAAAATGTTTTTCAATAAAAAAATATTTCTTTATAATGTAAATGTAAGATTAGTGTGTTTTTCGAGTTTGGAGTGCGTGGTGAAAAAATATTTTAAGTGTCCAATTAATATGCCCTTAAAAGCAACTGAATTTGGTTTAAATTTTAAAGTGAAAAGCTGGCATTTCACTCACTCTGAGTGCCTTGTTCCCACTCTCCTTGATCTGGCCTCGAATGGAATGTATAAAATGTAACGATTGAGGCGGCAGACACGCCCTCTTCCCAACACACACACACACATCCGCGGAAACACAAACATCAAACCGAGCTGTTGATGGCTTTCAGTCAGCAGAGGGAATTCGAGGATTCGCATTGGCCGGGCAAACATAACTCAACCGAGCGACTGGCAATGAAGGCAATGCATCCGGAGCCTCGTGGGCTGCCAACAATTAACAGCATAAATTTAAATATGCAATTAACGCAACAGCTTGAAGCTGCAAAAAAAGAACAATAAAATAAACGGAAAATGAGCAGAGTCAAGTGCTGTTGTGCAAAGAAGCAATTTCAGTACAGTGCTCTTTGGTTAAATTAAATTACAGGTATTTCCTGTAAATAAACTTTATTGGCTAGATCATAAATATGGAATTCTTTAAAAGCGAGTGTAGTAAAATTTTAAATATGTTTTACATAGTTTGGTCAACTTAAATATATACAAACAGAGAAGAAATTTGTTTGTATCTCGCTTTTATTGTCCTTTATGGTTTTATGTCATATGGTTTAACTTCATTTCGGATCCATTTCCTGTCTGCAAGGGTATTACAATTTCAAATCTTCAAAACTTCAAAGGATTTAGAGATAATCACCGTCATTTATTTAATACTTTATGTGCAGGAAGATAGAAACCTCTGTAATTGTAGTAAGGGATCGACAGCAAGAGGAACAAAGAAAAACTAAGTGGGAAAGTAGAATCCGAGAGGTCAAAGAATTTTTACGAGAAAGTAAACTGCAACCAGAAAGCAGGCGACAATAAAAGCCAAAGGTCATTTTAACACATGCACACACGCACGCTGAGCAGTGAAATGCATTTGATTGTATGTGTTTTTTTGTTGTCTCTGTCATTGTTTTTTTCTTTTTTGTTTCGAACACGCAAAAAACAATTCGAAAAACACAATTTTCCGCTTTATTTGTGAAACCCTGGCCGAGCCACAACAACAGGCAAATATACAAGGGCAATGTCTGTACGCTATATGATACTGCCACTGGTCCCCCTTTTCGCTGTCCCCCCTTTCGGGACTTCCATGACCTACCCCCCTGCACCAAGCAATCGTTGCCATAGCCACTTGTCAATATTTTTACGCTACGGTCTCGGTTACACGGACCCGTAGGGGATTCGTCCTGCAAAATTTATTTCAGTGCAGTGCCAGACACTTTACTGATGTGTAAATTGCTCTCTCTCCCGTTTAATGAAATTAAAACAAATTTTCAGTGAAATTTAATATGCCGAAGCGGCGGACTGCGCACAGTAGGCATAATAATAATAAGCACAATAATGGCATTAAAATTATTGCACCTGGCCACTGCCGTTGACAGCAACACCAAAAGCATCGGAAAATTACGCTGCTCAATTACCGGAGTCAAAGTGCAAAAAGCAGAAAAATGCCAATGAATTTATGCTGTTATTATAATCAATAATATAAAAATGGAGGTAACTGTGGAGCTCTTATTTTAGGTTCAATTGCCTAAAATACTACTTGGTCTTCTATTTAGAATTACCCCTAAAGATATTAAAAAAAAAACGAATTACATTGCTATATTTTATTTGTTTGTTTTGGAATGGGAATTTTCTCTTCAGCTTCCACGCATAATAACAATTAAGGTGACAAGGAAAATCTTTGATGGAAAATTGCACAACTAATTAGAAACTGAATGAGTGCAAAACGAGGAAGAAGTTAAGGAAATTTCTGAAGAGAATAAAACGTTCTTTGATTCAAATGCATAGAAAACCCAAATGATAGACAGCCTCATCTAAAATGGGTTTTGTAAGATCTCCAGGTTGCGGTTCAAATTCCAGCAATTGCTCAATGCTATAGCGTTGGACTATTTTTCCCTTGTGATTGGAAATGGTATTCAAGGTAGTGTGGGGATTTTGACGGGATGTCCAGTTAGAAAGAGGCCGGAAATGGGTAAGATTTCCTTTGCGTTTCTCCGTTTCCATTAGTTCACCAGGAGGACAATAGCGAGGCTTAGCCACAGCCCTGAGATCGCCCAGTCTGATGACCCCCGAAGAGGTGATCTCTACCAGACTTGGGTTAACCGAGTTAGCTTTGCTGGAACTGGAGTCCTTTGAGTCCTTCTTTTCCGCCTCCATCTTAGCCATCTGCTTGGCCCGACATCGCTCGTCCCATTCCTTGGTGGTGGGAATATATCTATTTTTGCGGACTAAGGCCACCGCCTCCTTCTTTTCCGTTTCCTTTTGAATAGGGACATGATTCATGGGATCGTGACTAATCTGTTTCTCCTGCTGCAATTTCTCCTGTTGTTCCAGTTTCTCCAGTTTTTCCAATTTATCCAGTTGCTCCTGTTTCTCATTTGTCATTTCGCGAAGGACCCTTTCGATGCGCTCCCTCTTTGCGGCCCTCAAACTATCCACTCTTATTCTTTCCTCTGGAGAAAATCTTATGGGCGATCGGGAGAGATGGACAACTGGTTGGCCATCATTGCAATTCTCATTGGCCGGAGTCGACGGAACTAATGGAGCCCTCATGCGCCTTTGTTCTGCCAATTTCAAGGCTTCCACAGCTACTTTTCTTTCCTTTTCACGGCGCTTTTCCTCAGCATTTTTATTAGAATTGGTAGATGTACTCGGAAGAGTTTCCTTGGGGTCGGGGTGTTCAACCATGTCGACAAGTGGTTTTTCATCCTTCGACTTCTTAGTTCGCTTTGCGCAAGGACGAATAATATAGTCAGCATCGTTAAACCAAACTATACGGGTATTTCGAGTACCTAAAAAATAAATGTAGCAAAGTATTATACGAAAATGTGATTATCAAAAGCTACGTAAACCCCTTACTTGTTTCAGCTTTCTTAGGAAATCCTTTCCAAGGCAACATTAAATTAGTATTGGTATTCTGCTCATCCAAAGTCTCAAACGTTTTTTTTATTTCATTGGTAACGACTTCAGCCTCATCTTTGCTCGACTCCTCGGTTTTAAAACGTGGCACAAACTCTTGTGCATTAACATTTAGCTTCACTGTACTTGTAACTGCCAGTTTGCCAGATTTATTTTCATTTTCCACCTGGATTTCCTTTATGAAGTCAAGATCTTGCACAGGAGACTTAAGAATCTCGAGGAGAGCACGACTTTTTATCAAATTGTGCATTTTCCCCTGTTTTTTTGGTCTATTGCCTTGTTTTGTGAATATTGACTGCTTTTGTTTCAGACAGAGATCTGTATATTTATGCGTATGATTGGAGCTGCACGTTAAAAGAAAATGTAAAGTATCTAGCTAGGCCTGCTAGTGAACAAATGTCTGGAGTTGCAACGCCAGAAACAAATATATTTGTGATTGTTTTTAAAAAACCTACTATATGACTACTGTTGCTACTATGGCTACTTTTAAAGTATTGGCTAATATATTTTATAAATTGCCCACCTTAAAGTCGACAAACGATATTTCCGATCACTCCACCTTCTAAATCGACTGGCAATCCATGTGCCTTTCTGCATTGTTGACATTTATTCGCACAATAAACACAAAGCCAAGGTAGGCAGGGAAAACGCAGGTAAAATGTGAAGATGGAACTGAAGATGGAACTGAAGATGGGTACGTGGCAAAAGGAAAAGCCAGTACTGGCAACCAGTGCCAGCGGTAAACGACATTCAATAAAACGTTTGAAAATATTGCACGAGGAGTGAGCGAAAGTGCTGCAGACGGAGAAATGAAATGAAACGAAATGAAATGAAAGAAGCGCACAGAAATATGCAATTTCACCTCAATCAGAGTTGTAAAAACAAACAAACAATGGCCCAGTGCAGTGAGCTTGGCTCGGCAGGGGTTCGTCCTGGTTCGTCCTTCGTGCAACCACAGTGATCACCCCCTTGGCCAGATGTCATGTGAGCCACATGCTGGGGCTCCTTGAATGCTCGTTACGATTTCCATTCCCGTCCCTGTATCGTTTTGCAAGCTCAAGCGAAAATGCAAAGAGCAGAAAAACGCAATAAGTAAAACGTAATAACTGCTCAGGAGCTGTGAACGTTTGGCTATATAATCAGGTTGTTTGGCTTGGGTAAAATTTACTTGCGCTTTCGCTAGCCCGAAGCTGAACAAATCCAGACGGAACAAGTGGAACTTGCATAAAAATAGAAATAAAGACAGCTTAGGTAAGTATACATGACGAATATGAGTAAGCGAAATAATAAGGAAGTATCAGCGCAAAAGATTACTGTACTAGCTGATTTACTTGAGCCTTATCTAGGGGAAATTAAATTCTAAAGATAAAAAAAAGAAGCAACCAACATGAATGTAATTATTATAGATAATTCAAATCAATTCGGCGATCCGTGCACAATTTTCTACAACGTTGTTCGACAACTTGTAGGTCATCTGGGGATTACCACAAAATCACCTATTTGCCAATGCATGGAGTGTTGCAAATTTTTCGTGTAACTCGCCTTGGGAAGTAGGTGAAAGTGGAGGCGACCGCCGCTAATGCATTTGTGGTCAATTGCCGAGCCGCAGGAAGAGGGCGGTAAAGCGAACTGAGGCACTGACATCATTTTAATAATAAAATTGTTAACAGAATTGCTGTGCTTTGTGTGGTCCGGGCCACACACAAAAACATGTGTTGGCCCTCCTAGCAGCAAAAGCAACACACATGTGCACTGCAAAAAATTTGGAGTCTTATTTCGAAATAAACTTTAAAAAATTCACTTAACTGGCTTAGGTTGTCCCAAAAGTTATGAGATAGAACATTCAAAATTAAGCTATTAAAAAATTATTAATTTGACATTATTTAAAAATTTAGCTCAGAAAAAATGTAATATCCCTGCAGTTACCTATATTTATTAAATTAATGTTTTGATGGTTTACTCTAAGATTTACAGATATTTAATCCATGTATGTAAATTTCATTTATAAACACAACAGTAAATTATTATCTTAATTTCAAAAGTTAAGGATTAAGAACAATCTATAACATTCATTTTTATATTTATGCATCTATCAGCGTTTAAAAATTAATATATATATTTAATCTTTAACCACAATTTTGTAATTTTTTTGTTCTCAGTTCACAAAATATTTTTGAGGGCCCCTCGACGACGACCTCAATGTTGTCGTTGTCGTTGCTCCTGTTCCTGTTAGTGCCTGTGCTTTCGCCCTCTTGCAATCTAAATAAAATGGCCGACGTGTGTGTACGCACAACTTTTGCCATATTTAATCGTATTTGCACCAACAACAACGAGAGGGATATATATACAAATATTTTCTGGGGGGAGGTTAGTGTTGGCAATTGTAGCAGTGGAGACAAAAACAACAGGATCCCACTGCTCACTTTTGGGCATTTGCTTATTATTGTTAGAAACTTTTGCACCCACACAACAAAAAAGTCAGAGAACAGAGCTCACACACAATTGGCCTGGCCTCTTTGTTTCGTGCTGGGAAATGTGTTTTTAGAATATTTTGTAACACGGAAATTACCTCAAAAATTGCACAGATGCAAAATGGAACTAGAGATGGCTGTCCGACCAATATGGTATAATATACAAGGATTATAGATCAATGGAAAAATATTATAGTAGAAAAAAATTATGAACTTAAATTATAATAAAAACGAGTTGCTATCAATTCCCATTTAAATTATTATTTTTGGGAGTAGCTTAAGAAACGGCCAAGCAATTGATAAAAAATAATTTAACTTAAAATGAAATTAACAATTTTTTTTAGTTAATAAATAAAGTTGTTTGCAAAAATCTTTGCTTAAATTCATTAAATTCTTTAAGAAAATATAATTTTAAGTCTTATATTTCCCATGCAGATTACGACCGATTATTTCTCCTATAATATTGCATCTCCGAATCGGGAGCTGGAAGTTTGTGGTAGTTATGTCGGTTTGGCTTTATTCACAATTTTAAGCTTGTTTCGGACGGTGACTCTGCTGGGGCAGCTTAAAACGTGCAATGGAAACTTTCGCCTCGGTCAGGTGGAAAGTTTTAAGACACAAATTTATGCCGGGACGGACTAAAAGTGAGCATGTGTGCCTGGAAAGTGATTAAAAATTGGGTCAAGTGTTCGTGCGAAGGGAGATTAAGCAATTTGGCATCGGCACGCACACAAATCAAAGGATTTGGCCATTTTTTTTTATGAATCCCCTACACACGCAGCAGTTAAAGTTTCTCACCCGCAACGATTTGTCATTTAGTCGGGGCCGAAAGCAAAGCATTATGCATTAAAAGAGGCAACTTTGACTTAATTACCAAACGAGACCACAAACTATACGTACGGACAATTTCAGCAAGGTGAGGCCATCGGAACAACGAGTTAACCGGGAGGTGGCATCAACATCGCCTGCTCCTCTACCTCAATGAAGTCAACCGGCGATTGAAGCACTAGAAAAAAATGTTATCAAGAAACTACAAGAAAAGTGTTATCCCGTGATGTGGTTTTTGAAAATTTGTAAAAATAAAATTAAAATTCACAACTAACAAGTTTAATATGAAATGTATAACTTTTGCTAAAGGTACATAAGCTCCTCCATATGCTAACCATATTTTTTTGCCAGCCTTAACTCACTTATAAAAAATGTTTGCTAATTAAAAGCCCAATCTAATTTTTCCAAGTGCATGTGAGGAGTAAGGACCAGGACTGGCAGTTCCTGTATCCTTAGGTTTGTTTTGGCTGTGGTTAAAGCGGCATCACGGGCTGTGGCAGTAGCATAGACACAACACCAGATTCACCACCATCACCACCACTACCAGCAAGTACAACAGAAACTACTCACAGGGGGCTTTACTGTCGACGGCATTCCAGGAATAGTGCATCTCCACCGGGTCTGCAACATCAGTTTCGGCCAAGATGGACCAAGTGCTATGGATCTGCAGACTCATTGTTACAGATTCCTTGCCGAAATTGCCCAGCTTCAATTTTTGAGGCAATAGCCAGTTGGCTAGGGACTTTCAGCTGCTTTTCTCAAAAATGATTTAACGCCCATTAATAAATTTAAATAAATAAATAAATTTAATCTAATAAACTTTTTTACAAAACTACTAAAAATGTTTAACAATAAAAAAAATATAATCTATATATATATATATATAGGAATATATATTAATCTTTAAAAGTTTAAATGATTTCTAGATGAATTTATTGAACACTACATTTAATTGTAAAAACTATTCATCAGGTGTATAAGGTGTATAAATATTACATATTTTAATTTGCCATATATGTGCACAAAAATTAAAAAAAAAAACTTTTCTTTTTCCCCTCTTTTGCGTTTCTTTGCTTCTTAATCGGAAAAATGTTCTAATATATTGGAAAAATTAAAAAAAATATGTCGATTTTCCCTACCAAATGACGCCTTGTTGTTGGCAAGTGGAAATAAGTGGGCGGTTGGCGCATGTGAGGGGCGTGTGCCTGCATATTTTATGGCTTCATCGGAGATGTACAGACGAGGGCGGGAAGTAATGTGGAACTGCAGCTGACCGCAGGACACGACTCCACTTACGAGCCGTCCGTCTGGCTGCCTCTAAATTGTTGTTGTCTGAGCTTTGATTGTGGACCGGAGGATTGTTGCAATTTGCCCCTTCCTTCATGCGTACTATATATGTAAACGCGTTGGTAGAATCGTGTCTGTGTGTATTTAACGTGCCTTAAATCACAATTTGGTCTGTAATCAAGCTAAACAAATATGGGCGCTTTGACTGCGGAGGAGGTTCCCCTGTGTCAGGCTTTCGTTACGTTTGGGTAAACTTAAATTTGGACCATCCATCGGAAATACACACAGTATCAGTTTGTGTGTAGGAGAATGTGTTTGCTGGTGTGCGTGGCTAACTGGGTCAATTGTTTGAGCTGATTTCGGTAATAATGTACAGTGCGTATGACAATTCGACGGCAAAAGGTAATTGCAACGGATATTAATAAGTTAGTATCAGTCTTCATTTGACACTAGAATTTAACGTTTATTAACCAGTAAAATAATTTAATTTATAAATATTTTTATTAAATTACCAATTACCCTCAGAATGTTTATTCAAATATAGTAATAAAAAAATGGCAACTTACACTAACAAGAATGGAATAAAGACCATTTTCAGCAAGTGCATTTTTCTACAACCTTGGTAATAGATTAGAAATTAATAATATTTTATTTTTACGCTTTTCGAAACTACCTCCGTCCTTCAAACGAATTAAAGCACGCTTACGCCACATCCACGTATCTTTAGAGCTTTAGTCAATAGCTTTTAAATCCACACAATTCAAATCAACGACTGCATTACGCTTATGCAACGCACTGTCCATAAAA